AGAAAAGCCAGTGATTGTCGGCTGTTTTCGTTGCTGCCTTTGCTGCTGTTGCTGCTGCTTGCGTAAATGATTGGGCACCCATGTAGCGGTTGTGACGCTGCTGCTACTGCTGCTGCTGCTGCTGTTGCTGCTCTCGCTGGATGTATTGCTGCTGCTGTCGCTGGATGTGCCGCTGCTGCTGCTGCTGCTATTTGTGCTTGCTGCTCTGCCTCTGCTGCTGCAGCAAAGCGATGCAGCAGCTGCGCAGCTGCAGTTCTTGGGGGCCCTCACTGGCTACATCCCGTCGATCCTCGCCACCGGCTTCCGGTGGGTTCCTGCTTCTGCTGCTGCTGCTGCTGCAGTTGCTGCTGCTGCTGCTGCTTGAACTTTTTTTATTACTTCATGCTGCGCTGCAGGCTGCTCTTCGGGGATGGAGTTGAGCCAGACTGTTGGGCGGCTCTAGGGCTGTACAAGGCAAGGGTGCCTGCTGCTGCTGTTGCAGTTGCTGCTGCTGCTGCTGCCGCTTTTGCTGCTGCACTGCTGCTGCTGCTGAGAGCTGCACAATGCCTCCAGCTGCCGCTGCAGCTGTACAAAGTGCTGCTGCGCGTTTCGTTGCATGTGTGGGGGCGTTTTGCTGCTGCGGTTGCTGCTGGTGCGGTTGCTGCTACAGCAAGCAGCAGAAGTTGTGGCTGAGCAGCAGCAGCGAAACCCTCAAATCCCGCTGCTGCAGCTGCCGCCCTCTGCCCGGCTTTCTCACTACACCAAGACGGAGCACCGGGAGCAGCAAAATGCTGCAGGGCAGCAGGTGACACAGCAGCAGCAGCAGTAGTAGCAGCAGCAGCAGTAGTAGCAGCAGCAGCATTTCCAATAGCAGCAGCAGCAGCAGCAGCTGAGAGGCCAGAAGTAGACTTCCAGGTGTATGTGCAGCCCACTTCAGACAGCGGGTCTTCAGCGCTTGCTGCAGATAGTCAAGCCTCAAGCTTTAGGGTTTAGGTTTTAGGGGGCTAGGGTTTAGGGTTTAGGGTTTAGGGTTTAGGGGGCTAGGGTTTAGGGTTTAGGGTTTTTGATGTAGGAAGACGTGATGCAGTACTGGGAGGTCCAGGCCAAAAATGATGACCCCGTTGCGTCTTACGAGCTCGCCAAGCTGATAGAGCAGCAGCAGCAGCAGCAGCAGCAGCAAAATGCTTCCGACGAAGCCACAAAGCGGTGAAGCTTTTTGCGGCTGCCTCTGCCCCACGCCTTAAAGTCTCAGACATTGGGGTTTAGGGTTTAGGGTTTAGCGTTTGAAGCTAAGTCTTCAAGTGCCAGGGCTGGGGTTTGGAATTGGGGCTTAGGGTTTAGGGTTTAGGGTTTAGGGTTTGGGGTTTGCAGGCGAATGGCAGAGCTGCTGCAGAAAGCAGGCAGCAGCAAAATGGGAGCTGCCTTAAGGGATTTGGCTTTGCTGCACTTGAGAGGCGAGGGAGTGCCCCAAGACACGCAGAAGGCCATTCAGCTGCTCGAGCAGGTGCTGCTGCTGCTGTTGCTGCTGCCGCTGTTGCTGCTGCTATTTCTGCTGCTGCTTTTACTGCTGCTGCTGCTGCTGGTTCTGGTGTTGGCGGGGTCCTGGCCTGTCTTTTGCGGCTGTTGCTGCTGCTGCTGTTGCTGCTCCTGGCGTTGGTTTTGCTGCTGCAGCAGTGGTGTTGCGGCTGCAGTGGTTGTGAGTGTGCTGCTGCTGCTGCTTTTCGCGTTGCTGCTGTTCCAATGCGTCTGCATGCAGCTGCTGCTGCCACGTGCAGCAGCGGCTGCAGCAGTAGCTGCGGCAGGAGC